AAGGCAAGATATTCAAAATCAGTCTATAAGACAACCAATAGTGTAAGAGGTAAAATGGCCTTTTTTATGAACAGAATCAATTCCTGCAGAGTTCCATACATTACACAGTGCGGCAATGAAATGTGCCCTAAAACAATATGTTATTTTTATGTAGTTCAATGCTGTGAAGACATTAGTGAAAACCATTCGTTATCACGTAAACTTCTGGAAACTCAATTTTATCTGCACTCGATATTTATGTTCTCGCGGTGCTTATCACATTCCGTTATTTTAGAAATATTATTGCCTGGTGTTCGGAGAAGATAGGGGTGGGAGAAATAGCCACTTGGGGTACGTAAAGTGAAGTTGTGGTTGTGTCAGTCAATCGATAGTGAGATCACACAGTATCTATTCCCGAAGACCAGTCGAGGTGAGTTGGTCCATGTCCTGACATGGGTGCAGAGAAGGCTCTTAAGTGTTCTTTCTCCATTTTTTCATCTTGTTTCTCATTTCATGTCACATATTCTTTTTCACTCTTTTTTCTTCCTTACTGGCTTTCTCTGTATGCTTAGCGGCGACCCATTTGTTTACCGTCGAAGAGAATGGGTGTCCTGGGTGTTAGGGGGGCCTGTGTGTGCGTTCACGACTGTCGCCACGACGCTGGTTTCTTTTGGGTAGAGCCGATCCAGCGATGTTCGCTGTGCGAACATTGCTGAGCCCTGGTGACTGAGGAGAGGTCTCTGCATCTTGTAAATCCCAATACGCTTTTTTTTTGGTTTTGGACTCTTCTAGACGTCGGTCGGGTGCTAATTCGCTCCCGATCAATAGACCCGGACTAGGTCTTGTATTGAACTCCAAGGTGAAAGGGGGGGTGTCCACTACACGGCAGCTTTATGACATCTCCCCACTATGTCTTCGTGTCAACCCTGGCACCTCCAGTGGAGTGTACCCTTGTGAGACTCCATGGTGAATTGGGAGGTTGGGTACAAAACCGCTTCAATTCTATGGCGCTTTAAACAAACCCATACCCTCTGTTAATTTGAGTAGTTTCTTCCTTACGGAGGAAGATAGACCTGAAAGGCCATGTTTCTTTCTAATGGCATGCACGGGAGAAGGGAAGACTTTCAAAAGTGTGTGTCGTCCGTTGGAATTTTCTTGCAGAGCGTCTGTCGATTACAATATCCTTTATCCATGGAATTACGCTCTGCTCGCGTTGGCGAAGAACTGACCCATGAACGGTGGGAATACACAACCAAATGCTACAGTATCTTCCTGATGTGGCGTTGCAATTTCTCCTCCGCCTTTATAAACACATCTGGGAACACCACACCATCCCTGCTCTATGGCAAGAAACCATCCTGGCTGTAAAGAAAGGAAAGGATCGGTCGTTGCCATCGAGCTGCCGTCGTCTTTCTGTTACCAGCTGCATTTACAAAGTGCTGGAACGGATGGTAAACCAGCGTTTGGTCTGCACTTAAGAGTGCAGAAATCTTTTCACTCCAGTGCAGATTCAGGAAACACCGGTCACCCTGGGCCATCTCGTCGCATTGCAAGCTGAAAATTCAACTTCGCCTTGAGACAGCACCTTGTAGCCGTACTATTCGATATAGAAAAGGCTCACGACACCACGTAAAGGCACGGCATTCTGCGAAACTTGCACTCGTGGGGATTGATGGGACGTTCCCGTTGGTGACAAACTGTGTAGCAGTTACACGCTTGAGAAAGGAATACCCCAAGGGTCGGTGCTAAGTGTCACGTTTTTTCATTGCCACAAAAAGTCTAGCGTCGGTCGTGCGAGAACATGTAAAGGCATCGCAGTTTGTGAATGTTTTTGCAATTTTCTGTCCATCCAGCAGCTTCAGTGTGATCCAAGGGAACTTCAACTGCTGCTCAACAAGCGCAACGAATGGAGCACGTCAACAGGTTATAACTTCTCTGCTACTAAATCTACTGGTGTGCATTTCTGCAGGATACATCACGTGCATAGCAATCCAGTCATTTATTTGGGAGGCAATCAGGTTCTATTCGCTGAATCTGCCTGGTTCCTGGGGCTCACGTTTGTCCCTCACGTGGCATGCTTGTATCCGCACACTACAAACCAGATGTTTTTCCCTCTTTAATCTTCGGATGCTGCATGGTACGTCATGGGAAGCCAACCGCATTACCCTATTGCGGTTATATAGAGCACTCGTTCGACCAATCTTGGATTACGACAGTGAGGTATATAGCTTGCGTAACTCCTTCCACTCCGACTCATTAACAGCATACACCATTCTGGTATTCGCGTCTCAACAGGTGCGTATGGCACCAGCCGAATCGAGTACCATTAAGCTGAGGCTGGGGAGCCATCCTTAAAAAGAAGGCGGGATATTCTATTGCCGTCTTACGGAGCTAAAGTGTCAGGACTATTTAATCATCCTTGCCGATACCCCCACATACCGATCACCTCACTACCCGATTCCCCCTTCACCGATGCCAATCACCCCAAGAGACACGATTCCCCCTTGGGAACTCCTCCGCTTCGATATTGACCTTAGACACATCAATCTTTCCAAACACACTACGAGTCCCATTGTATCTGAGATGCAGTTTTTGGATATCTGGGAAGCCTATGCGGATCACACATTCTTGTACAGTGACGCAGTGGCATGTAGATTTTATAGTGTCAAGCTCACCATATCATACCGGTTTCATTCTCAGTGCATTATATTTACTGCTGAAATGTACATAATTCTCGAAGCCCTAAAATACATCGAGGGTAGCGACATTGCGATGACCAGTTATCTGTTCTGATTCTCTTAACTCTCTTCAATCTGTCTACCATTCTTCCTCACACTAACTGACGAAAGCAGTTTGAAACATGATACATTGTGTTCTCTCTCGCCACTATGATCTGTTACTTAGCTGGCTGGGTTGCAAACCACGTGAGAATCACAGGGAATGAGCTGGCCGATCAGCGTCGAAATCAGTGACGCGGAAGATCCATATTCACATTCCTTCTGTACAATCGTCCGACGTTAAAGGTTTTTTGAAACGATCCATCATTAGAGCGTGGCAAACCGAGTGGCACTATACCACTTTTAAGCAAATGATAATAAAGGATTGTGTTAATCCCTGGCGTTCTTCATCCCGCCCTTCAACGCGTGAGGATGTCGTTTTAAACACGTCTTCGTGTCAGCCATTGCCATTTTCTCATGGTTTTTTTCTTCGTGGTGAAACTCCGACCATCTGCGACTCGTGCAGAACAGATCTTTCTGTGGAACTCCTCCTCCCCAGTGTACGAAATTTATTGGCAGACGACGAACACACGTCCTGGCTAACCCTCTAAGGCGATGTTGATACCGCAATTTCAAAACGTTTTTGTTTTTTCAGAGAAAGCGGAATTTTTCGTGGCCGGTTTTTTGTCAGTTCTACGTTTTATGATACATTTTGCGTGTTCGTTTTATTATCCTTTCCTTTTACCTTATCTACAATACATGTATATTTCATGCGGAATTCAAGCCCTCTTTTTTAGAATTGGTACATGCTTTTAATCAGTGGGAAATTGCATGTGCAACGCTATTAAAACTATTCAATTAAAAAAATACTTTGACATTGTCGCCAATGACCTCAGTAGATTTAGATTTATTGAGTCAAAAAACAGTAAAAACTATGTGACATATGGAGGAGATGATCTGCGCACGTTTTCTCGAGTTCCAGATTCCCTTCCTATCATTTTAACTAACATTTTCATTTCAATTATAAAGAGTTGAAAGATGAGTAATTTTTTTTAGGAAACAAGGTAAATAAGAATAAAATTTTAAAAATCGAGAGATTAGCAACTTTTGGAAAACTATATTTTCGTTCCCGAGTTATAGAAAACTTATTTGCAACGGTAAACGAACTGCAGCTTTGATTTTTTTGCATCAATTTTTGCATCAAGCTTTAATTTTATTGCTCACCCTCCTCTCTACTCCTACCACTACAAGCAAAAGGAGAATTCAACAACATAGTGCGCATAGTGAATGTATATTTATGTCCAGAAGCAAAACAAGGGGTCATCTCAGCATTTGCTCAATGGATCAGGAAAACTGGACAAAAACCTGATCGAGAAGGGGGTCATTGACCGGGAAGCTGAAGTACATGATTTGTTACAACCATAATAAGTATTTTAAGAAAAGTATACAATGCAAATTTCAACTAATTCATTATATATTACTGTTTGTTAAAACACACGTTTTTCTTTTTGATGATCTGTATACTCTAATTGTATATAAACTGTTATGCAGCAGAAAAGATTTTACTTTTAACTGATATTTGTGTACCGACTTCAATTATTTAAGGTCAATGAGTGGTAAAGTAATATACATGTATAGTATGTGGATTTCTTGTAGTGAACTGTAAATACTGACCTTTGATAAACGTGATTTCCACGTGTGTCGTAAGTACATCAGTATTGCATGAAAATGTTCCCGCCGTTAATTAAGTTTTGACAAATATTCTAGATTCGTAAATAAATAAGCAAAGCAATGATAAGATTCCAAGTTTAGTGAAAAGAGGCTTGTAAGGATCATGTGGATGGCATATTTTCATTATTCGAATAATTTTCTTTTGCAATCTAAATCTAATCTAATTTGCTGGGTACTACATGATGAGCATCCCCAGAATATTATGAAATGTATATTTAAAAAAATCCCCCGCAACGAGCTGCTTGCATGCTGACAGAATTTGAAAGAATACTGAATGCGTAACATAATGAACTTTAGTGTTTAATTCTGTTACAGTACAGTAGATTAAGCACCCTTAATCAATTCTTGTTATTAAGAAGTGTATGTATTATCAATGTATATATGAATGTAGTATGTTTACATGCATGAGTGTGTGCCCCTGTGTCCATACATATCGTTACCAATCCTTTTTTCTTTAAGAAATACAAAATAGTGTTTTGACATCCTTATTTGAAACTTATTTTGGTTAGTAACACATTTTTCACTAAACCCTAGTGATGAACATGCAACTCATTTCAATGATCCTTCTTACAGAATGATGGCTTCACGTATAGCTCTGGACAGTCAAGGAAGACTTATTTTACGTGAAAATGGCAAAATCATATTGCCATATGAACATTTTGCAAATGCAGTAATGCTCAAACACATGAACGGACCTCATGGATTACATCTAGGATTAGAAAGTACAATACGCGCGGTAAGTACTTATTGTAGATGGTGTGTTAGTGTATGAAAATGTACATTTGTATATGCTGTCCTTGAAAAATGTCATTTGTATGGTGTAGGTATGGCCTGTTTTGCGCCAGGTATAGGAGGTGTAACATCTGGTACTATAACTTTGACGTATCAAACTAAACGGGTTCGTATTTGAGGTCTGCATTCACCGCGGCGTTGACGGCGAGCGTTCGTCGCCCTTCTTTCTGTGGAGACCCTGCACGGCTGGTCGCCAGTACCCGGTGGAATCCATTCCGGCGAACTACATTTCGGCGCGTCGCTAGACTCGACTGCCACTTCGGAGTAAATAAGGTGTTTTGTTGCAAAGTCAGGATGCTGGATTTGCCAATGCTGGATTTGCAATCGATCAGCAATTTCCATTTAACAGAATTTAATTTCTTAACGAAGTATTAAATATAATTGATATTTAATATTATTTACAACTGCAGAATTCATCTCGGTTCCCCGACGCACTGAAGAACCTCAAATTTTGGGAACTATTGAAGTTCTTATGAATTAAAAGAAAGGGGATTCACATGTTGGTGGATTTTGAGATACTATTCGCTCTGTGTACACATATGCAGTATTACTGGTTTTGGGCTTCATAAATAAGACACCTTCGTATCGATAATGCGGTATTTCTGTGGGGATAATTCAAGTGGTTGTTGAAATTTAGGATCTTCCCGTTGAGACTGGAGAAGTTTGTGTACCAATAGCAATGGAGACCATCTAACTCCAGGCATTTCCAATTGAACAGGATCTCTATAACTTTCTGTATGATAAAGTAAGTGATTTGAGAAATCATTTCTATGCGTCGCAGCCCCTTTAATCTGTTCCGGCCAAGGGGCTTTGTCGTTAGCGGCCTTCACTCGACCATATTTCACTCCACATTTCTCCTATAGCTGCTTTGTCTGGCAGGATGTTCATTTCTGTTTCGTCTTCTATAGAAATTGTTTTTGCTTTTGAGAATTTTTTTGTTGTGTTTTCCGCTTTAATGGTAAAAGTTTGGCGTTATGTTGGCTATAGACACTCGGTTGCTGTTTTAGGGTATCTATGAAGTGATGATGATGTATTTGCTGATATTTGATGTCTCAACCATTTTTTTTTTCATTTGCTACTTTGACTTACTTTCTTTGCTGTGCTGTTTTGGAATTATCGGTTCAGATGAGGATCTATCCCTTCATATTCGATAATTGCCAGTAGATATTTTGATTTAAGTTCTTCATGTAGATGATCTGTAGGCATATCTTTTTCTTGAAGCTCAATGAACAGTTGCTTGCGTGCCTTGTGAAATATGCATTTGTGATACGGGAGTTATTGCAGCTTCTATGTTCTCTTCCCGTCGAAGTAGGTTGGTACACGTCCTGACAGGGAGATGCAGGGAAGGCTCTCAAGTATTCCTTTCTTTCACCAGTCATCTCCGCCATCGTTCACATTCGTTCTTTTATAACATACTGTCTCCTTTCTTCTTCCCCATCTATTTCACTCGCTGCATACATGCAGAACGCCCACCAATGTGTTTGCCATGCCCGGCGACTCATTTCGGAGGGAATGTGTGTCAGGGAAGTTGAGGAACTTGTTTGTTTTCCGACTTCTCCTTGTGCTACTTTCTGCTTTGCACCTAAGAATACGTTGTTTACGTATTTTGGTGAACATTCCTTGTAGATTTCCAAGACACTTGCATTGGTCTCGGACACGCAGTCGGGAGCTAACCCACTCCCAATCAATCTGCTCAGACTAGGTATTGTGCTGAACTCCAGGGCGAGCGGGGGAGATGCGGGACACCGCTATATCATCCCCCTCCACGTTATCGTCGTGGTAACCCTGGCACTCCAATGGAGTGTCCCTTTGTTGGGTGGAAACCATGGGGATGAATCTTGTATCCGTCTCCATGAACACCAAACTTTCTCCCCCGCCCTCTTCTACTATAAAGAGAACCTAACTGGAACGAACTTTGGATTTAAACCATTTTTTCCAAAAGATGACCGACCGAAAATGCCTCGTTTCCTCTTCATGGTATGCACCGAGGAAGAAAAAACGTTTAAAAACGTAAGTACAGTCCGTGTGCCACGAGCAGTAGAGGAAGCATGCGAGAAGCTCCAAGCGATCGTGCGACAAAGGAATGGAATGATTGTCTTTGAAGCACGTATCGACGAGCAAATAGAGAAATAATTAAAAACCAAGATTACCGGCCTCCAGGTAGTAGTGACGACATACTCAACTTTGAACCTGTGATTCCAAAAATAAACTAATTATATTTTTCAAGAGTCAGGGCGTGACTGAAGTATATAGGATCAAAAGGAAAGAGGGACAGGGGAAATGATCCCTACTTCAACCCTGATCCTCACGTTTGACTGTCCGTCTCTCCCGGAAAGGATCAGTTGTGGTTTCTACAACCTCCATGTGCAACAATATGTACCAAATCCTTTGTACTGTTTTAAGTGTCAAAGGTTTTAGCATCCCCAACAATGATGTATGTCAGTAAACCCAGTGCGGTGCATGAGTGAATGATCCAAATCCGTACACTACACCACCGAACTGTGTCAATTATGAAGGTGGCCATCCAGCTAACTACAATCAGTGCCCCAAGGAACACCGAAAATGCTTTCTTCCCTGAGGTCAAAAGCCGGTACCAGGATAGAAATCAGTAGACATGACTCTATCCTTTCTCCAGTACTTTAAAGACGAAGACCTCTTGGCATGCTGCCAAACACAATGTGCTCCTGCTCTAGTAGTGCACTTCAGTTGTAAGGTGTCACCTATAGCCGTCCCTGAAGATATAGCGTTCATATAATGCGCAAAGCTAATACTAACAAAGTTTAAATAACTTAGCTAAAAACTCAACGAGCCACAGACCAATTCAAGTGAACCCCTTAACGAAATATATTCTAGTCAGATATCGCTTCTGAACAAAAATTCTTTTCCAAGTCCCGTCCAATTACTGCTTCCAAGACTGGCATTGAGCGATCCTCTAGCCGGTCTCCACGTAGTTCCCGGTCACCTGTGACAAAAATCAGGAAATTCACAAAACACAGGCAACCAGCATCAGCAATCAGGATGACTCTGTTGACGAGGACAACCACGAGAGTTCCTCTACAACTTTTAAGAAGTGAGAAAGAAAAAAGCTAAAGAAGTAATTCCCTACAGTGGCTCTAGTTGAATATAAACTGTTTTTGTGCACATTCAGAAGAATCGAGATTGTTAATTTTTCGCCATAGATCATTTATAGCCTGCCTTCAGAAAACTCATCTTCATTCCCATCATCCCCCTGTCTTCGCGAGTTTAACATCGATCGGTTTGATCCAGATGACGGACTCCGTGTTGACGGTGGTGTCGCGGTACTTACCCGTGGCTCGAACAGACTTTCAAACAATGCGTGCGGATACACCTACCATCCTTTTCGCTAAAGGTGTGCAATTAATACATTCTTTTTGGACAAGTTGTGTCACAACAAGAACTTCATGATGTGTATTCTCAGTTACCCGCCCCTTTTTTTATTGTAGAGAACTTCAATGCCCACAATCCCGCCTGAGGTGCTCACAATGTAATAGGTAATATACATAAAAGTATTATTGACCACCAAAACATCGTTCTTTCCCCTCGTTTCAAACACTTTCTCTTGCATTGATCTGTCTCTCTGTAGTCCGTCTCTTTCTGCCATCTGTGAGTAAACTTGGCGTTCTGCTTTTATCGGCTGTGGTAATTTCGGGTATCCTGATATGAGCCCTCCTGTTAAGCATCACACCACTAGTGGTTCGCAGACAGCGATAGTTCCATCCGTGTCCTGGCGTTCCCCAGACAGTGACTCTGACCCGAGGCAAATTTCAAATGGTCTCGCCATTTCGAAATGGGCGTGGTCTGATAGGGCTGCTATCTCATGGTCTTTACACCTGTCATCATGTGCATTAACCTCACATGGAGAGTTGCTTCTTCCGCGTAACTTTGGCCGTAGAAGACTTTGCCCTGGGTTGGGCTCCCCTTATCAACCCGCGAGGAGAAGGGTCACTTCGAGTCCAACTTCATGTCATCAGTGGACAGCCTCTTCTGTAGGCCCATTTCTGATGACGTTTTTTTCTGAAATACTTAGTCTGACCCCTCCCCCTCCACCTGTCCGACAAGGGTGGCCCTACCAGTGGCTACGCTACCGCCGGCATAGCTCTCAGAGTCATTGGGGTACTCAAGCCCACCAATGTCAATGTCATGTACTCCCGAGATGCAATTGTTGTTATTATTATTATTATTATTATTATTATTATTATTATTATTGCGTTACTGTTATTTTTATTGTGAGTCAGCTGAAAATAAAATCTACTGCACGTTACAAACAGCTACCTATGAAGCAGATCTAGGGTCTGTTGGTGCCTTTCCGATACTTCGCGTAAAATATGGGCTGTTCCAAATAAAGAAATTTCTTACACTTCCCAGACTTTTCAAAGAGCTGGGAGTTTAGCCAAATTCTTACACAAAGTTTCCGGAACAAATTCAGGAGCTCCGATGACTATCAGTAAGACCTGTGTTTTTACGCCCCATATTGGGCTAATCTCGATTCCAAAACTCTTGTATTTAAAACGTTTTTCTGCTCCCTTGGTTAAGGCGTTTTGATCGCAAGGCACATCAACACCTACAAGTAGACACTATTTTTTCTCCAAACCCCGGATAACAGTTTGTTAGCTGATATCATGCGATCCGTTTGAATTTGGTCGTACAATATTGAATAGAGCCCGACATATCACCGATTTTGTTGAGCGTTCCTTGCACATAGAGCATGTGTTTGGAACTTTAAGGGCGCGAGTGAAGGTAACTACACACCCTGTCGAGTCCTGTCCTGTCGAGTTGCAAGAATTGGTCATGCTGAGACGATATGAGCAATAGTTCGTGGCAGATGCGGCATTTATCATCTTGGGAAATTTTGCTTTATCGTAATGTGTTCTCAACGCGTGATCCTGAGCAGCTATTAGAACTGCTTCCGATTCCTGCTTCATT